GACGTTGACGAAGTTGAGGAACTCGCACAGGAAGAAGCGTATGGCGTAGAAGTTGTGCGTGTGCAGATTGGTGGCAAAGTAGTCGACCAGCAGCTTCTTGTGGTCGTTCTTGCACTCGTCGCTGATGATCGGGCAGTTGAGGTCGAGCACGAGCATCTTGATGCGGCCACCCTCCCACGTTTTCCACATGTACCTGGGCAGGTAGAAGAACATTGCTTGGAAGAAGAGCACGAAGCACACCCACTGGTAGTACTTGTGGTACTTGACCTCGTCCTCGCCGTCCACGTGGGACGCGACGCCCGGCCGGACCACGTCTTTGCCGATGCGGCCACCGAGACGGTTGGGTACGGTGAACGTCGAGTATATCCAACAGTACGTGTCCATGATGTTGGGCGGCAAATCGTCGACGATGCAATCGATCGGGTCGCCGATGTACTGGCGGGACGTGACGATCAACGAGAACGACACCAGGATGATGACGGTCGCCTTGTAGTGCAACCGGAACATGTTGTTGTCGATGCACACGCTGTCGATTTTCAGCAGCCCCTTGACGGAGCCGAACACGTCGAACATGGCGGCGGCGGCGGCGGCGGAAGCTCAAACGCGGGTTATACTCACTAGACGGGAAACACAACACCGGAAATCGGAAACTCGTCGTCGACGAAGAAACGAGGAGAAAACGTTTTCAACGCGATCTCACGTGCGTGACGGGGCGCGCGTCATTTGTACGGAGACGCTACAAAAGATCGGCCGCGAAGTGTGTGTCCTGTGTGCACGTCGATTGTCGGCAAATGCATACGACGAAGACAATAATATTTGAATCGTTTCCGAAAGAGGGCGAAAAAAAAAACTCGATAAACCGAACACGGTCACATGGACGGTACACACGAACGTCGGACAAGCTCGGCCGTTTCTCGTGGAATATTAGGGACGTTCCGATATTACCGATATGAGTAAAGTATCGATATTTTTCTTTCGATACGAGTACTTTTTTTATCGATATAATTGTTTGAATACTTTATTCATATCGATAACAAATTACCAGTATCGAATCATTTTTTTGTTATCGCTTATCGGTTTTCATTATCAGTTATCACTTATCAATATGAGATGACAATATTATAATGACTGATAGTTATAGTAGACGTTATAAATTAAATTTAAATTTAAATTATAATGGGGCCACCAAAAAGTGATGTTTGGATTTATTTTAAAAAATTGGATAATGAATATGCGATGTGCAAAGATTGCCTTATAAATGTTACGCATAGTGGCAACAGTGCAACACATCAAAATTAAGAAAACACATGATGATCAGACATCCAAATTTATTAGAAAACACTAATGGTTTTAAAGATTATAATGATTTTTTTTTTATTAATGACTGATCAATGATCTTTATTTGTGATATTATTATTTATACTTTAAATTTGAATGACCTATTTTTTTTATTAATGACTAATTATATAATTTATTTATAAATTGTATAATTATTATTTAATATGCAATGTAATGCAACACAAGAAGGATAATTAAATTAAGAAATATTTAGAGTATTTTACAGTATTTTATATCTGTGAGCTATACAGACATTGGACGTTCATTCACCAGGCACCACGAGCAGAGCGCCACCCACCCAACGACCCATCATATCAGCAGCTGCGTACTGCCGCCGATACCGATTACCGAATTACTGTAATCTGCATTCTGCATATTAACCTAACTCAGTACTCGCTGTTTCAAGTTTTTAGTATTCTTGTCTATGGTTCTAGTAGTGTTCTTGTTAATGCTTGTTTTCTGCTGTGACTGTTCAAGTAGTATTCTAAATTCTTGTAAATAGTTCAAGTTAAACTTTTCAAACTGTTGTGCCGGCTTGACTACGTCGCCGCCTCTTATTTTTATTTGGTTTTTGGCAAATTAAAACGATGCCAAGATCCGCTTACAAATGTTGTGTGGTTGGGTGTTCTTCAACAGGTTCGTATATTATATTGTAGTTGTTTGATTAAAAAATATTTAATTATTTAATTATTAAACCAGGTTCCATATTTTAATTTCATATTTCGAAGTAGGATATTTTCAGATTGATTTAACTATTTTGAGTTTAAAAAGCGGAGTAGTAGGTACTTAGGCAATGATTTCAATTTCAATTTTTTCATTAAGGGGTATTAATGAGTGGTTGCAATATATCGTTCATTCTTCATCTTTATTGAGTGTATTTTTGTATATTAAATATATTATATGATAAACTTGTGGTGTAATGTAGAGTAAAATAAGTTTTTTTATTACTGGAAATTCCTTACTTAGAGATTATAGGGTGACCTTTTTCATAGCTTATCATAAAATATAATTATTGGTTTAATAATAATATAAGTAAAATAAATTAATTACCGGAAATTCTCTTTGCAGACCTTATCTTACTATTATTTGAGTCAACAAAATGTGTTATGTGCCAGTGTTGTTAAATATTATAGAAATTAGGTATGTTCTTTAGATAGCACAGATACAATATAATATTTATTATATACAGGGTGAATCTTTTACCATTGAATATTCAGTAGATACATGCTATTCTATTATTGTATTACCTACCAAAGATGGGCATTAACTAGTTAAAAAGTTAATTATAATAACATAATTTTGTGTATATTATTATATTTTATTAAGTTGTAAATTATACATTATGCGAGTTTCAGTTATAAATGTTTTTAATAAAATTAATAATTTTAATTTACAAATTGACAATTCTTATGTTTCAATTTTATATAGGTCATGTACTCATCTTCACGTATTATGAGTTATGACATTCAATTGCTATACGATATAACAAAATAATATAAATAAATATATTTGTTAAATTATCAATTTGAGATAAGTATAGTTTAAATTACTAATTAGTATAAATTATAGTTAAGTAATATTAAAATGGTATACAGTGTACATTACAGTTCAATAAAATTGTTTTTGATAATTTATAAATTAGAAACCAGAAAGACACATTCACTCTTTATATACCTAATTTACATACTAATTAAAAAAAACTGAGTTAAGTTAATATTTTTTTCTATATTAACTTTTAACTTACCGATCTTGTGTCCTCTTAACTTAACTTGAGTTAATTATTTTCATTAACTTGCCCACCTTTGTGTATAACACCTAAATACATGTTGATACCGCCCAACTTTAAACAACCATAATTGGCCAATTACCTACTTACTATTATAAAAAAGCATGTTAATACAATTTTGAAAAAAGTCATTAGACACTTTTTGAATTAATGAGTGTATTTGTTTGTTACATATGAATGCATTTACAAATTATACCTACTCTAAACTTGATATTAAATACTATAACAGTACATAATTATAAAATTTTAAATTTAAGGCACATCATCACACCGATTTCCAAATCCCAATAGGAATAAAGAGTGTTTTGATAAATGGGTAGAAATTGTAGGAGTCAATCTGAAGTCTCTCGATCCATCAACTGTTTATGAGAAAAAACGCGTTTGTTCAATTCATTTTTTAAACAATGATATAAGTCCAGGGACCAATAAACTTAAATGTTTTGTTGTCCCTAGTTTAAATTTATCTGGTAAGTTTATTTAGTATTTATTTATTTATTTATTTTTTTATTAATTAATTGTCATAAATTACATAATACATACAATATTTACTAGATTTATCTTTTCTGTAATAAGTATGAAATACTAATAAATGTTTTTTATAATTTACAGTTCCTAGTGCTTGCAATGTAAAAACACCAGAACCGTCCACTTCTTATAGTGAACCTATTCAGTACGAATCATCTGGTATGATAATTTATCTTTTCTGTAATAAGTATGAAATACTAATAAATGTTTTTATAATTTACAGTTCCTAGTGCTTGCAGTGTAAAAACACCAGAACCGTCCACTTCTTATAGTGAACCTATTCAGTACGAATCATCTGGTATGATAATTTATCTTTTCTGTAATAAGTATGAAATACTAATAAATGTTTTTATAATTTACAGTTCCTAGTGCTTGCAGTGTTAAGTATGATTTGATAGAAGATACTGATTTAGTAGGTATATCAATATTGCCTGATGATTCAGTCATTCAACGTATGTACAGTAAAACTTTGCTAAAATAAAATATTATATTTTTACTACTTTGCTTTGCTTACATAGTAATATTAATTATTAAAATTTAATGTATAAATCTAGTGCATGGTAGTTGTAGAAAACTGAAAACATCTGCTAGAAAGTGTAAACCAAAAACAGGTGAATACTTCATGCTTACTAACTTATCCTTTTTTTAAAAAAATCTTGCCAACCAAGTTGTTAAAATGCTTTCAGGCCTATTACATTATATTATGTAAATAATAGTAAAATTACTATAGATATACAGTGCGTTCAAAAAGTTTAGTTTTAGTTATATTAGTATAGTATTACAGTATATTTATAGTAGTACAGTTTTATTATAGAATTATAACCGTATTCAAAATTTTAGCAACAAGCAACTTTAATAATTTTATTTTTTATTTTTTTTTTAATGTGGGTAAATATTTTATAATATTTACTAGATTGTTTTTTTACTGTAGGACTTTTGGCAAAGATTGGAGTACACAGCAAAACAAAATTGACCCCAAAATGCAAGTCATTATATGCAGACAGCTTGATATTACAGAGAAGACTACGAAGTGAATCATTAAAAGCTAAAACATTTAAGCAACGTTTAAAAGCAGCAGAAACCATGTCTGAAAAACATATTTTTGATAACTTGTCTGACAAACTTTCACCGGTAGCTACTTTGTTTACAAACCTGCAAATTAGAGAGACCAGAAAAAAGAATAAAGGGCGGAGATTTACATTAGACGAAAAGCTCTTGAGTTTGTCATTATATAAAAAAAAGCCCAAAATCTTATCGGTTACTATCTTCATTATTTACATTACCATCTCGTCGATTACTTTCTATTATGCTATCAAAAGTTCCAATTGAAACTGGATTATCACCACTCTTGATGGAAGTTTTGAAAGAAAATGTGAAGAAATTAAAGCCTAAAGAAAGTTATTGTACTTTGATGTTTGATGAGGTGAATTTAAGTACAGAAATTCACTACAACGAAGCACTAGGACGGATAGATGAATTTGAAAATAATGGTCATTTCACCACACAGCAATTCGCAGATCATGCACTTCTATTCATGGTAAAAGGTATTACAAAAAATTTTAAGCGACCAATAGCATATACATTTGTAAAAGGAGCCACAAATAAGCACCAATTATGTGCATTGATTAAAGAAGTAGTTTCTAGTGTTCAAAATACAGGTCTTGAAATCATTGCCACAATTTGTGATCAAGGCGCTACAAATGAAGGAGCAATAAGATTGTTACATGAAGAAACTAAAGCTTACTACTTGAGAAAAAATGATCAATACAAAGACGATTTTTATGAAATTATATATGGTCCTTCTGAACTAAAAAAAAGGATTAAAATAATTCATTTGTTTGACCCCCCACATCTTCTCAAGGGTATCAGGAATAATCTTCTTCAAAAAAATTTGTTGTTTGTAACGGATAATGTCAAAAAGGAAGCTCAGTAGAATCATTTTGTAGACTTGTACAATATAGATAGCTCCATTCAAGACATTAAAATGTTACCAAGATTAACTGAACAACATATTATACCTGGGAAAATAAAAAAAATGAAAGTTAAAATGGCCGCTCAAGTTTTCAGTCAACGAGTTTCGGCATTGATGAGATTTTTAGCCTGTAAGTATTTAATATAGATAAAAATTTATTTCAATAAAACAATTGATACATTTTTAATTCTTTGTTTTAGCCAAAAACATTATTGATCCAACTGCTAATGAAACTGCTGAGATGTGCCTTTTTTTTGATAGGCTTTTTGATTCAGTCAATTGAAACTTGCACAAAATACAAGATGGAAAAATTTACAGTACTGCTTTGAAACGAGATAGTCCTCATCATGAATTTTGGGATAAAGCTTTGAAAACTTTAAATTCTATGGTTTTCATTGATCGCATCACTAAGAAAAAGTCATCTGCACCACAGCCCAGAACAGTTCAAAATTGGGTAAAAACTATTCAAGGTAGTTTTATTTTAATTAATACAGCTATTACAAACATAATATGCATACTTTTCACAAATTAATTGTTACAAATTTTTAGGTTTTAAAAATATTTATAAAGTTATGGCTGAAAAAGGGGTTCATTCACTATTGCTTCGAAATTTTAATCAAGACCCAGTTTAAAAATTTTTTGGTGCCATACACAGTCTTGGTTACCGAAACATAAATCCATCGACACAAGGATTTTCTTCAGCATATAAGACTCTGATGCTGAACAATTTAACATCATCCCATTCCCCAGGTAGTAATTGTGAAGAAGACTTTACAGAAGGAGCTCTTGCTTCTTACCGTGTTTTATTTTCAAATGTAATCGAAATAGATAATGATACTCATAACCTTAATCAAGAACATAGAGTTAATGATTAGATAGTTAAACCTAACATTGTACATAAATTACCTGAAATATCCTATTTAAAAAGTCAAACACAAAATTACATTGCTGGTTTCATTATTAAAAAGTTAAATACAATATTATTTAAAAATTGTCAAACTTGCTTACACCAAATTTGTACTAAAAAAAATAATAAAACTCATGAACTGACAATGGCTAGAGAGTACAATAGCCAACTAAATCTTAAATATCCTAATATAACATTTTGTTGTCTTATTCAAGGTATAATTGATACAACATTTTCTCTACTTCCTTCGATTTGCCATAGGTTAGATTTTAAGTCTCTTTTAGTATCTAGAATTAAAGAACAGTATAATTTAGAAATAATATCTTGTCCTATACACATAAAATATTTCCAAACTAAAATTTTAAATGTCACTATTAAATTAGTCACAAACCATTGGTGTGTTGAAGTTAATAGGCTCTTACATGGTAAGATAAAGTTATCTAAAAACGAAAAAGATCAAATTAAAATAGCAGCAGCCGATAGGTTTAATAAATTTTCAAAATTTAAAAAATAAAATTTTTTTAATATCTTAGTTGTATCAATTTAAAATAAGATTTTATATGTTCAATTAAGAGGACACTACACAGACATTTATTGTCTCTGTGTAACAAGCAACATTTTGACTATATTATATATCATTATATCAAAAAAAAAATGAAGACTGTTTAAATTATTTAAGTTATTTTGTTAATAATCATTAAATTGCTGAAAATAGAAAAAAATGTTTTTGTTTTATTAAAATTATTATTAAGATTACTTAGGTAATGTACTTAATTAAGACTTACTCAATGTCTCAATATATTTAACATTTTTTTTTTTTTTTTTTTTTTTTTTTATTGATCTTAAGCTTCGGCAACTATGGCCATTAGCTGTAGTGGTTTATTTGTGGGTTGTTAATGTCGGTAGGGGGAGGAACATGTGTGTGTTGGGTTTTGGCAGAATTTTTGATTGGGCACCCGTAGGTATCTGCCATGCCCGGGTGGGGGATGGCGGCACTTGTTCTCCGGACACCGTGATTTGCCCGGAGAAAAATGTCGCCCAGTGGCCGAGAGAATCGAACCCACGACTGCCAGCTCCGCAGCCGACGCGTTAGACCACTCGGCCACCTCGTCCCCCTATTTAACATTTTATAAATATCTTATGTGCATATTCATGTTTTCCTATTTACGATACATAGGTGATAGGTAACTTTTTTAAATGTGATAACTTATACAACACAAATTTAATAAAAAATTAAACAAATGTTAAATGTTTGTTCTGTTATCTTACATATAACTTGTTTTCTAATATTGTATCCTGTATTTTAGATTTTAATATACAAATGTGATTTAATGTGATTAAGATTTACCTATAAATTTGTACTTAATTATTGTTTATGTTATGTTGTTGTATATTGTCAATAAAGTTTTTATATAAAAAAAAATATATATTTATATTAATTTCTATGGTTTCTTAATGATTAATATTTTAATAAGTTGTTAAGGAAAAATTATAATGCAATAGATATATTCAAAAAAAGCGGAAATATATTCTGGACTGGCTGCCGTCGCCGCCGCCGTAGTTCTTTCACCAGGAAAGTTGTACGAAAAATTAACACAGCAGTTGCCCATCTATGAGTATACTTATCTATGGTCGTACCTAAGACAGAGACAACGAATCTAGGGGGAAAAAAAGCCTAAACTAACACATGTGGGCACGACCTTAAGCATGTGAGCTAAAAAGATCACAGCTGTGAATCGTTAATACTGTTGCAGTAGGAGGATTCTGAGGTAACAGATGACGCTGTAACGTGGGAACACTGATTATATGAATCTAGGAAAACAACAATATCTTAGTTATGAAAAAATCAATACAGATATAGGCATATAGCTAATAATAATTAGAAGGGCTAAGGGGCAACTGTTTTTAGTTTTTAAAAACATTTAATAAGTTAAGATTTAGGTACCTAATTAACAAATTACGATATAAAACACGTTGATTTAAATATTTAATGATAGAAAAATATAATAATATTAATGGTAATTATGTTGTAACTGAGAGGTACCTAATCATCTAAACTTTATAGTATGGTAATAGCTAAAAAAAAATTATATTCCGCAAGAAAAGCTCAATTTGAAATAAATCGGAAAAAAACAGTTCTTTCAAATCGGACTTTCTGACCAATTATCTAAATAAATTAAGTAGGTTATGTTTGTTGTCTTTATCAGTGGCGTACACACGGGGGGGGGGTGGGTGTTCAAACCCCCCCCCTTTAGTATTTTTTCAGTTTACGTAATAACGTAAAAATGTATAATAAAAATGATAATTTAAAAAAAATATTATATTTCAAATTATACTCCATTAATCATTATATTATAACTTATAAGCAACCCAGTTTGTTGTTATAATATATTGTAGATATTATTGATAACTTGTTACAAATTAATGAAATTATTGGAAAATTTGTTCAAACACAAATATGAGGGTCGACAATCGTGTAATCCGATATAATATGCCTTAATAGCTATCGCAGTATCGCTAATACTATACTGTATAGAATCTATTTCTCAGTTTTCAATCAAATTCCTGACGCTCTGGACGTTTAGTAAATTGTACTGTTTACTGTTTAAATATTTTATAAAACAATAAAAATGAAAAGAATAAACGAATATTTTTCTAACTCACTAATTTATGATACAATTAACTCGGAGGAACCAGGTAAATATTTAATACATTATATTATCAACCTAGGACCTAGGTACAAAAAAATGATTAATATGGTAAAAATAAATTTCTCTTTGTACCTATCTTTTATTGAATTGTATATAATATATTATTATATACATATTGTATGTACGCGTGTAACTTTGTAGTTATACTAAATAATTACCTGTAGGTAATGAGTATATATTTTTTAAATAATAATCGAGAATTATAAAAATATTTTTAATTTCACCTTAATTCATTGCTAATGAACCGATTACTCATTATGTACAAAATAATTACTATAGGTACATCGTTTTGATTCATCAATGTATTATATATATATATATATGTGTATAATTTTTTTTATATGTAAGCCCCCCCCCCCATTGAAAATAGCTGTGTACGCCACTGGTCTTTATAGTATGTTAATTAATGGGAAAGACATGTAGACAGTATAGGTTTAATTCGAAATATAATGCAGATATTGTAGTGCAGTCAACACAAGTCAATATTGTAGGTGCATGATCTTTGTAACGAAATCAACCCGTCGCAGGAATATCTGGCACATTTTTTAACCATAACTGTTTTATTTGATCATAAAATAACTAAACAGACTGTTTTTATATTTTTGAGATTTTTTGATTACATAATAATCTACTTATGTGGAACCTTGTTTAAAATGTTCAATCCTTAGCACTTTCAACGCCGCTGACAGTAACATGTACGTTTGTATCCGCCATAATTTAATCGATTTTATTTTAATAAACTCTGAAATGTACACAGGCTGTAGACAATAAACTCTAAATTTAAATCTATAATTGGTTTGAATTTTCGTTATTATTAGATACTGATAATCGTTGTTTTTGACAGCCTTCCCAAGACAATGTATATGAACGTATACAGGGTGTATATTAGATATATTATTATATTATGAATTTTTCTACTGTTATTTAATAATAGTAACATAATACTGTATCATGCAATATGGCTACTTTGCCACTAATAATATTGAAAATACAATAATTTGTTTCATTTGGCGTTATATACGATACTGCAACGGACGCCTGCAACGCGGCGTCGCGGTATAATGGCCGAAATCACGGGCGGCGTTGAACGTGTTAGACATAAAAGTTGAACATTTTATAAAGTTTTAACGGTACACAATTATTTTTAAATGTATTAAATTCGATATTATGCAATACAGTAGGTATCTTTTCCAACGGAAAAGTGAATTTAGTTGAAGCATTCCAGAGCCAATTAAAATGCCCAGAAGTTTTCAAGCGCCGGGAAAAACAAAAAACAAATTTAATAAAAACGGGAAATTTTATGCAAAAACGGTTTTTGACAAAATCCGTCGATGAATCTTTAC